TTTTTTTTTTTTTTTTTTTTTTACCAACAGCAATTTTTAGGCACCTAGGCTAGCTACTTCCTCAGACTTGCAAAGGCCTGCATGCCTTTCAGGTCTATAGATGTCTAAGATGCAATAAAAAAGAAATCTGCCCAAGACCATTTTCAAACGTTTTGGGTTACTGAATTTTGTCGTTTTCGACCAATGCTGGTTTGAGTGCAAAGGTAACCTTTTGCCTAAAAAGTCCAGTAAATGTGAAAGTGTGTGGATAATGAATCTCTTGCTGTTCGCTTTGTAATCTGACAGCGGCCGCTGACTGGCTGCAAGCACAGCTCAGCTGAAGATTTTTCAACACGTTCCTTCGGCAAGTGTCGATCTATTGATCGACTTCTGCCAAGGGAATAGGGTCGCCAACTAAGCAAATCTGCTCTGTGTGTGGCTGCTGCTTAACTCGAGACTTTCAGAATGTAATATTTCTGGCGGCATGTGATTCCTGCCCCCCCTCTGCCTTTACTGTGTCCAGCAGTAGCATGTAGGGGTCAGTGGGAGAAACCAGTGAACGTGGTAGGGGGTCAGGACTCCAGCATCACCAGCCTGAAGTGTCAGATTCTGGACTCTTCTGGTATTGATTTCTCTTCCTAATGGTATGGGCGAGGAATTAAATTTTCTTTGCAGGGAGGACATCTGTTTTAGGGACATAGTACCTGTAACACAATGGGATTTCACTTACTTTGCCTTTTTGTATGTTTACTTTCTGGAATGAATATAACCCATTTTATGTGCTCCTGGTGGAGGGCTAACCTTGCTTGATTTGCGGTATGTTTTTCATTATGTGATAAAGTAAATAAGATAATACCAGAACGGCCATGAAGAAGCAGATAAGAGAGCCATTTTTTTGGCATGCAGTACCATTTTTATTTAAAGTTTTATAAGCTTCTTTATGTCTTCAGTCATTTTCTTCTTTGCCATTTTATTTTCTGTTCATTTCCAATATAATGTTTGAGAAAAAGGTGTGCTTTCACGCATGTTGTAGGAACTGTGATGTCTGCTGGCTCTCCTGGATATCTTGCAGGAGACAGCAGCATTGCCTACAGGTGAAACTCGAATAATTAGAATATCGTGCAAAGTTCATTTATTTCACTAATGCAACTTAAAAGGTGAAACTAATATATGAGATAGACTCATTACATACAAAGCAAGATAATTCAAGCTTTGATTTGTCATAATTGTGGTGATTATGGCTTACAGCTCATGAAAACCCCAAGAACCCTAAATCCACAACCTCAAAAAAGTAGATTATTACATGCAATCAATAAAACAAGGATTGTACATAGAACAATATCGGACCTCTGAAAAGTACAAGAATGCATATGTACTCAGTACTTGGTTTGGGCCCCTTTTGCAGCACTTACTGCAATTACTTTTGCACGATATTCTAATCGAGTTTCACCTGTATAAGAACTTTCAGGCAAGGAAGAGTTGCTCCTTAGCTACTCAGTATTTGCCTGAAGCATTTCAGAGGATATGAGGTTATTGTATTAACAAAAAGTTGCTCATCTGCTTGTTATTGATGCTTCAAATTTATCACATGCTTCTCTCTGAATGTAATGTTCACTCTTTCTGGTTCAGGTCATACATGGCTGGCTCATCATTTCCTCGCTGTTGCTACTGTTTTTCTTCTCATTTATCTACTTGGGGTAAGTGTACAAGAAACCTTGTCTCTAACTGGGGACAATTTTCGAAGCGGAATGCTCTGAAAGGTGACGGATATATATGTAGGCTGCCATTGCTGACCACCGTTTTCAGCCCTTTATTTCACTTACCCAGAACAAGCACACAGCCAGTTTAGTCAGAACTCCTGTATATTCTGGGTAGTGATCAACAGGGGGCAATCACAATATTTTTGTTTCAGTACAGGATTTCTTCATTAATATGTTTTACTGTATAGCATACATTGGAGAATGCTTTCTTTTATATTTGGCAACCTATAAGAAAATGCCCACACTTGGAAATGGCACCTTTTTTTTTTTTTAGTGTAAAAATTGCTTTTGTGTTTTCCAGTGAAGTGTTCAAGACATACAATGTTGCCATGGATTACATTACTCTGGCCTTGATGATCTGGAATTTTGGAGTGGTTGGCATGATCTGCATTCACTGGAAAGGACCCCTTCTTCTACAGCAGGCCTATCTCATTATGATCAGTGCGCTCATGGCTTTAGTGTTCATTAAATATCTTCCAGAATGGACAGCCTGGCTCATCCTGGCTGTAATATCTGTTTATGGTAAGTATGTTTCTTATAGATGAGGGTCTTTGGCAGCAGTTTTACTTTTGTCGCAGACCCTGGCAAAACGGTTTTGTTCAATAGGGAAGGGTTGGAACCTCTGAGGCCTTGCTCACACCAAATGCAGAGCAGATCTGCATGAGTTTCTGCACACGCAGTGCAATGGGTTGTGCCGCGTTTTTGATGCATTCTGGGACGTTTGGTTAGAATTTTTTTTTTTTGTTTAAAATGTGCTTTCAGTGCGTTCCAGGCGTTTGCATGCGTTCCAGAGCAGGTAAAATAGGACCTGCTGCAGTTTTTTTTTACCTGCTCTGGACCTGAACGCTGCGATGTGAACTGGAGCTAAAAATACCATTGGAATACATTGGACGCAGTTTTGCTCTGGTCTGTAACTGCTCTGCACCTTCTCCGCGCTTGGTGTGAACAAGGCCTGTGTCTTTATTGCTGGTTTATGTTCCTGTTAGGGAGGTTCTTCGTACTTCCCTGTTTGAAGGCCTCACGGGAAGTAAAAGCAAATATGCCTGAAGTGAGAGGCATTTCAGCTTTTGAACAGGTGTTCCCATTGGGAAATTTTCCCTCACATTCTTTCCAGGTGACTGCTGTCATTTTTCCGGTTTACGGGATTAGCTATTAAAGTGAAGCCCCATATTGGGAACACAGACAGCAAAACCTTAACCTAGTTTCTAAACCTTCTCAACTCCATCCAAAACAATGGTTTTAGCTAGAGATGTACTTCGAGGACATATGGCTTCAAGGAGTGTATGCATTTTACAAGGTTTTATTCCTGCAGCAAGACAGGAAATCAGTCAGCATGTAAGGCTTCAAAACAGCCGGCCCTAGTTTACAAGTTGATGTGTAAAGTCTGCATATGTGCTTTGAGACTAGCTTTACTGTAAGGCTTCTCCCAGATATAATGGATATCAATTTTATAGTGTAAGCTCTTTACAGCAATGCAAAGGATTGCCAATCTGGACCTGCTAATGTTTCCTACAGACGAGGTAATGTCTGACTTTCTTTAGTTGGTTCTTGTGGTGATCTTTACAGTTTGGTTAACTTTGGATAGCAAACAATTTAGATGATGATTTTTTGGGCATAGTCATTTACCATGTCGAACTCTTACAGCTCCTCTGTTATGGTTTCTCTTTATTCATAATGCTATCACTAGGGGATGTCCGTTCAGTGCACAGACTGACACACTTTAGTAATGCATATGTATGAACACGTGTCCCGCCAAAAATGTGTTGGGTCTCAATGTGACTACTTCTTGGGTCTATGTCCCAATGTGCCTACCAACTTAAGTGTATGACAAAAGTTTAAAAATCTGCTTTAGAGAGGAGGTGCATTTCAACAACCTAAAATTGTAGAGTAGATCACTTGATACATAGCAGTTGTTGACTTTGTTGCAAAAACATTTTTATATATTTTGTGCTCCCTGTTCAATGGGATACAATTAAATGTTGGCTTTTGCATCTATGCAAACGTTACCCTTGGTACGCACAAATGACTTTAATGGGGCAGTGGCATAAAAGTGCTTTTGGTGCAAGGGTGGATTTTATATTCTTTGTAGAAAATTGAGGAATTTCTGTACACTATACATACATAAAAGTAGATAAATACTGGTGTGTGTTTTGGGTGTTTTTTTTTTTTTGTTTTTTTTATACAATTCAGTGAAGCCGTGCAAAAATAAATGCTGTGACCTAGCTAATCCAATGTTCTTCTTTAGATCTCATAGCTGTTTTGTGTCCGAAGGGGCCTCTCCGCATGCTCGTGGAAACTGCGCAAGAGAGAAATGAAACACTCTTCCCAGCCTTAATTTATTCTTGTACGTATACTGGGTAATTGGTTTTAGACAGGTCTTTTAATGAGGGTTTTTTTAAATGTTGGTGTCCTTTTTTTTTTTTTTTTTTTTAAATACATATGTATATTTTTTTTTTTGTTTAACTTCACAACAGAGCTGGTAAGTCCCCTATGTGATAGTATAGCACAGGTGACACATTGTCTTTATGAAGACATGCAGGGGTTTTTCCCTCTTTTGAAGTTGATTGAGCTTAGACTGTGCCATATCGGCTTCTGCCCTGGCCAGGGAGGTCGGTGATTGAGTTTCTGAACTTGGAAGTGTTCAAAGCTGAACACTTGTAAATTCATTCTTCACAGGAAAATCGGCAACAGATGTTCACTGATCTCCCACCACTCTTGGAGTTTGTGTGCATGCTGGCGCCACCGCCTACTTGTTACCTCAGCAGCACTGAAATGGTTGAGATGTCAGTCAATTTTTATTGTGGTCGGTATCCATTCTGAAGGAAGTTTTGGCAGGTTATTGGCTTTACTAAACACACACTTGTGCATGTTATCAGGAAGCAAATTAACCCTTCACATGTTCACTGATATAGCCAGAGGAGAATGTTTGTATGTAATTGAATTCTATGTCATCAACAGCTACAATGATCTGGCTAGTGAAGATGGCAGATGGTGATCCTGGATTCACACAGAGTGCCTCAAAGAAGCCCGCATACAACACGCAAGGTAGGGGTTCAGCTGTCAAGAAGTAGAACTCCTAAAACGTATATCGTACCTCGTGTGTTTTTTCACTGTTCTTTGTACTAAAAGACACTCAAGACCTAAAAAAAAATGAATACAAAATTATGATTCAATATTACAATACATGTATTTTTGCACAGACTCGATCATTCATGTAGGCATTTATTCAACTAAACCCTTTGACATTCCAGCAGTAAGTTGTGACAACCTGTCTCAGGTATCTGTCATCTAAACAGACTTCTTCATATAATTGTATACAAATTCTAAGAATTATTTGCAATTAATTTTTTTCTCCTGTGGAATTCGCCTGCAGTCAACATGTATGACATTTCATATGTTTTTAATGTATTGGATTGCTAGTCCACACATTCTACATAATATCGATATTTTAAAAGGAGGGGAAGCTTAAAGGAGAACTATGAGGTGTGGGATTTCCACTCATCCTCATAGTTAGCGCCGACCAAGCTGTCACAGGTTGGCTCTATCGATCGGGAAGTGAGCAGAATCATTTACCGATCTGCTCACATTCACCGATAGTCTCCCTGCATTGACCGGTGACTCAGTCACCGCTCCCCACAGGGATTCCCTCTCCCGTCTTCAATCTTCCAGCGCTGAGTGGAGGAACGGACGGAGGGGGCCAGCACAGCTGGCTCTTCCTCTAGATAGGCGAAGCCAGCCGTAACTCACGCAGCTGGGTGGATCTTGACAGTATTGTCTGGATCCGTCCCGGCTGCGGCGCACTCAGTATATTGCGGGCAATAGCCCACTATATACTAAGTATTGGGTCGCAGGAGGACGATAGTGTATGTCCTCCCATGACCCTAAAGGGAACAAAGGGAAAAACATTTACCCCATAGTTCTCTTTTAAATCCCCATAACCATGTCAATTTTAACTGCCAAATTGTCTTTAATTTTGTCTTTAATTTAGTTTTACCTTGCATTTGGAACAGTAGGGTTATTCATATGTGTTCTGCATGTCTTATTCATGCTTATTTAAACTGTGTTTGGATCTTTACATGCAAAGTGCCTGTTGTCCAGGAAGGCAGTGATGAAGCTACAGCTGATGATAATGGGGGCTTTGATTCTCAATGGGAGGAGCAAATGGATGAAAGAGTTGGACGAATTAGTTCCACTGCAGAATCTCGAGCAGCTGTTCAAGCTCTTCCAAGTAATGCACCTCCAAGTGAAGATCCTGAAGAGCGTAAGTACATGATGTAACAAGATTGAAGTGGAACTTAAGTCAATTCTATGTTTTTGAACATGGTAGTTGTAATGAAAATGAATTATGTCAAGGATAGGATTAGGCTTACAAAAAATTGAATAGGAAAAATGAACAAAATAAAAAACAATTTAGGTACCTAATGGTAAATTATGAATGTATTTTCTAAACATAACTTGTAAAGTTGAAAACCTGTCAAAGCAAAAAGTTTGCTTAAGACCCACACGTAAGGATAATTTAGTGCTAGTTCACACCAAGCGCGGAGCAGGTGCAGACCGGATCAAAACTGCGCCCAATGTATTCCTATGGTATTTTTAGCTCCAGTTCACATTGCAGCGTGCAGGTCCAGAGCAGGTAAAAAAAACTGCAGCATGCCCTATTTTACCTGCTCTGGATCTGCAAACGCATCAAAAACGCATGCAAATTTTTTTAGCCAAAAACGCATCTAAAAGACTAGCGTGCGTGTGCAGAAACCTGACCGGATCTGATCTGCATTTGGTGTGAACAAGGCCTTAATCATATCTGCTTTGCTTTTCCATTTAGCTGTTCTGCACCAAGAAAAATCCCAGTACTTCCTGTTATGAAGGAACATGGAGCATTGCTTAATAATTGGCCCTGTGCTATCACATGAGGGTAGGAGTCCTCACCCTTGTGCAAGTTCCAACGAGTGACTACAGAGGGCTGTATTTCTTCTCTTCCAGTTGCTGAATGAAGATGCAGGGGAGTAAAGAAAAGCTGATTGTGCACTCCCAGGGCCATAAAAGTGAACCTGTTGCTTTTTCCCGGATGTGCAAAGCTCAGGTGCACTATAAAATAGTTGCCATTTTGGTGAAAATGATCTATTACAGGCACTGCATTCAGATTCTCCTAACGCAAAGAAATTCAGTGGGTATAAAGAACTCTGGACTACTAGAGCTACTCTCATTTAGAAAAATAGCAATTATTGCCCAGTTTTTAACAGATAGTGGATACCTATTTTAGGAAATAGTTTCCCGTAATGGAAACTAACATCTTGCTAGGCTGTCACATTAATGAGATTATTAATCTCTAATACAGCCTGCATTGTAGATAGTTTCCCTGTAGCACAAGTTCTTCAGCTGAACAGCTTCTGAACTGTTTAAGACTATAGCCTTGTGGTGGGAGAAGCAAAGCTATTCGTTATCCAGCGTTATCGGTTCCGCTGGAATCATCTGCTTCAGGGCAGGTTCACAACATTTTCGGGAACGCACTGTGAGGTTTGCCGTGTTTTTGACGCATTCAATTTTAGGTCTTGCTGGGGGGGACCTCTGTAAGATCTACAGATAGCCAGGAAAAGAGCAGCATGATGCTTGCATATAAGAGACATGAATTTACCACAGTTGTTTACAGAGCTGCTCAAATGATCATAGCCAGGGACAATCTGGGGGGCAACGCCTCTCCACTTGTCCATATTCCAATTATTGTTCTTATATTGCCCATACAGCTCTGGGCAGGCTTCCACAAGTTCTACAAAGAATTCAGTGTCCACTTCAGCCATCATGGTTCCTATCTTCACAAATCTCTCTCCACAGAAGCAGGAAGTCCAGGGGTGATGAGATAATCCAAACCAGCCAAAAAAAATGTTTTTTCCCCGTTGCGTTCTGATGCGTTTTTGACGTGTGTGTGTTCCAGACCAGACAAAATGTGGTGCACATTATTTTTGTCTGGTCTGAAACTGACTACGGTGGTGTGAACTGAGGCCAAGAAGAGCATAGGGAAACATTGAGATGCATTGTAGGTGCGGAGGCGATCTGGAGGTGGTGTGAATGAGCCCTTAAAGAATTGGACGAGCCTCGACTCAGAACTTTACACAAAATAGAACAAACACCAGTACCTGATAAAAACATATTTTGTTAGTACCTTTTACATACTATGGAGCTCAGGGCCTGATTTATATCACGTTGAGCCAACTAGTATCAGCTGTTAGAGGTGAAGGGTTTTTATGGTGGTTGTTTTTTTTGTGCCCCATCTTAAATGTATATTAATTACATCAATCCCAGAATTTGTCAAATACATTTCAGTGCTGAATACAAGCTATCCAAGTGCAGAGGATGAGAGAACTGCGAGTTAAGTCCAAGATCCCTATACCACACCTGTTGTGAAGTAAAGCTGTCTAATCTGATTAGTGCTCCCAGGCGTGTGAGGTTACAGAACACTTTTTTTTCACCCGCCTCAAATCTGTGCTCTCCCCTATGGGGAATGTAACGAGACTCTGCGTTGTGAGCCACCTCATAGCCCACAGACATTTCACAGGAATGTCCAGGAGGTCTACAAACACTGTGCAGCCTCTCTACTAGTAGGTCAGACACATACATATTCTCTAATTTTACAGATGTTCTGCAGTTTAGTGGCTAAAATACAGCCCTAAAGCTCTGCTACATAACCTTAAAATTATCATCCAAAAGTATTCACTGCACTGTCTGCTTTCCTTAGGGGCTGCTGTTTCACAAGCTTTGTTTCTGGGTTTTTTTTTGTTCCTCTATATTTGGAGGGAGAGGCGTGTGTGTTTTATTAACCTGTCAACATTTTAATTTACTGATGGCATTAAAACACTTCCAGACATATTACATATTCACTAGTTTGTTTTTCTTCTGACACATGTAAATGATTAGTTGAAAATGTTTGTTGCGCTCTGTGGCAACATAAGCTGCATATCACGCTAATGCTTGTAAAAATTGCAGCACTACCACTTATTATATCCCTATATCTTTTGCACAGTATATCCCTATATCTTTTGCACAGTAATCTACACAAACTTCACAATAAAAGAAAACAATATGTACATAACAGCATGTGTGATTTGCAAAAATGATTAACCTAAAAAAAAGTGGTAAATTAATAAATTACAGTGATGATCAAAATCACACATGTGCAATGGTCATCAAGCTAGATCCCCATATGTATCCCAGCGCATGTATGTATGTATGTATGTATGTATGTATGTATGTATGTATCCCTTTTTATGTGTATAGTGTTGCTTCCAAAACACTGAGGGGAATTTATCAAAACTGGAACAGACAATCTGCAGAAGTTGCCATGAACAACTGCTCCAGATTCTGTCTGCTCCAGTTTTGATAAATTCCCCTCTTTGTGTTCCGGTTCACCCTTAATGGTCTAAAACTCACCTTCTTAGGTGGACCTTATACTATGAGGTCATGAAGTGCATTAAATGAGAACTATGGGGTTAAGGCTTTTCCCCATAGTTCTCAGGGTAACGGGAGGACATAAACTAGCATCCTCCCGTCCCCCTAAGCTACAGCTCGCTGTATACTGAGACACCACAGTATACCGCGAGCTACTGCTCGCGGTATACTGAGACGCTGAAGCGGATCCCGACAAGTCTGGATCCGCCCAGCTGCGTGAGTGACAGCTGGCTCTGCCCATCTAGAGGCAGAGCCAGCTGTACCCTCCCCCGTCCTGTCCGCCAGTCAGCGCTGGCGGATCGGAGTGGGGAGAGGGGAATCCATCCCCTCCCCTGTCACGGCAGAGAGCTGTGACAGGATCGAGAGGTGAGTGAACGCCGGTATGTGTTCGCTCACTTCTCGATCTACTGAGCCGACCTGTGACAGTCTCATTGTCACAGGTCGGCTAGAACTATGAGGTGAGTGAAAAACACTCACCTCATAGTTCTCCTTTAACCATTAAAGGGTTAGTTGGTATCATCAAAGGTTCCAGTCCGCGCTTTCCCTTCGAGGCAGGTTCACTTATAAGGGCAGGAATTAAGATTGTAAATAGTGCTTTCCTTTTCAATAGCTTTATTGAAAACTTCTAAAAACACACGTACAGAGTGCACTACTTCTTTTGACTCTGAATTACTGTATATGATGCATTATATTCCTCTTTCTGCTGGAGAACTATAAAATGACATCTGCTCAGAATTGACATTCTCCCCAAAATCTTAGCATGATTCCTTGTGACTATACAGCTGCAGATCTTTTTGGCAGAACAAATTATTTTGGGAAATTATACAATAGTGAGAGGTTGACACATATTTCACTTTTTTTTTTTTTTCTTTTTTCAAGGCTTAAAAGTTCAGGTATGGTTGCTGACACCCGAAAACCCATGACTTTGCTTTACTAAATAAATCTTTTTTACATTCTGGACCAGTCTGTCCTAACATAAAAAAATAAACAGTAAATGTCTACCTTTTTTTTAGGCATATTGCCTAAAGTATTGTAAAATGGTTTTGCCTTCCCAGCACAATAGTCCATGCTAACTGAACACAATCACTATACTGTAGTAATGATGTACAACCTAAAAGTAGTTCTGGTGCTCTTTTGGTTCATCAAATTGAGGGGAATTTATCAAAACTGGAGCATGGCAACCAAATCGGCTTCTCTTTCATTTTCAAAGCTTAACTGGAGGAAATGCTAGGAAGACTGTAGCACTACACTGGATCGCTACAGCACCCTTTGAAGTTAATGCCTGGAAAAGACTGTTATATGTTGTCTTCCCTCTCTGTAGAATAACATACAAGGCCAGAGGTTGCCCTGCTGCATTTAACAAGATTTAGGGGACTGGGTAGCGTTTCGACTTTTTTGTGGGAAACCTTCCCCAAACTCTACACATTTTTTAAATGGTATTGACCACGCCATTCTTTCTATTGGGATTCCTGGTATATGGCTTCCATTAAACAATAAAGACACTCCTGTAGCCTTGTTTCCTTAATGTCTACGGTATATTGAGAACACCTCCACAGCTGTACACTGTTATGGGGTTCCTTTTACAAGGTAAAAATAAATCTCTTTAAACTGGCCAGTCATTAGGCTACATTGACATGAATGTTGTCAGGCTAATGTTTCCTGATGACTTTGGGAAGCTTTAGTTTTATCATGACCTGCGGATAATAACCTAAAAATGTGTATGTTAGCAAGTTCTTTCTATGCAGAGAGAGAAGTGGGATCTTTCTCATCCAATTGCTAATATAGAGAGAGGCCCAGCATGTCTAGAGTGCTTCCCCTCCTATCTCCATAAGGATGTTCACCATTCAGATCATGCATGATCCAACTGCCAAACATCTGTAGCTACCTTTTTTAATTAATGACTCTGTTTTAAGATGGGTTAATATGATAATATTCACCAGAACACTGTCAAATTCTCTTCAGGTGGAGTAAAACTGGGACTAGGAGACTTTATATTCTACAGTGTCCTTGTTGGAAAGGCATCAGCCACAGCTAGTGGAGACTGGAACACAACACTAGCTTGCTTTGTTGCCATTTTGATTGTAAGTATGACATTTTATTCTGATCTTCAGTAAAGGTTCTGAAAGTTGTAACGGCCTGTGCCTGTATGCGCTTTTCTTTCTTAAACAAGTCACTACAAATGCAAAAGCAGCTTGAAGCAACTCCAAGCAACCTATAAACTAATCATAAATGTCTCAGAAGCAGGTCAAAGCAACACTAATGCATACTTCCTTCAGTTTCTGAGTCTGAAGCCTGCATACACAACTCCTTAAGGTGTCTTTAACATCTCATTATCTCACACCTTCTTTTTTTTTTTCTCTAACATTTGCACCTTTTTTTTATTTTTATTTTTTTATTTTTATTGCAGTTAACAAATGTATCTCTCTATTAGCAATATGAAATACACCAGCACATGTGTGTGCATAAATTGTATATTGCAATAATTCATTTTTATTGACACCACAGTTAAGCTGGCCATACACCTTGCTTCCGATGACTGCAATGCTGAATGGGCAGTGTGCGCTTGCGCACACCGGCCCGTGCGGCATTTGTCTTACATGCAGGCCACAAACCCACCGAAAACCGTACGATTCTGGGCGGGTTTTCAAACATGCTCGTAAGACAAAAGACGTGCGACCGTACAGTAGAAACGGTTGCACGCCTTCCATACACCTGCCGATTATTGTACGATCGCGGGATTTCCCATGATTATTGTACGATAATCGGCAGGTGTATGGGCACCTTTAGGCTGTCATCATTCCTTTATAGGCAAATGAACACCAAGTGTGAACTGTTTGTCTGATTTGGTTAAAGTGCCCTTTGCTTTTGCTTATGTATGATTATGCTTATTTTGGTAAATACATTCAGAAGACGACAGACATTTTCCTTTCCTGATTCATTCTTGTGACAGTCTTAAAGCTGCATACAAATAGGTGCATACAATCTTACAGGTGAGCCAAAAGTAAATTCGTTTCAGGGGTCTATTCACACTGTTACATTACGGTGACAAATGTTACTGCAGCTGCCCCAATTCACTATTACACTAGAATGCAATGCACCACATTACAGTGTACCAAACCATACATGCCATAAGTTGCGTTTGAAAAAGGTCCAAAACTGACAGTTATCAATAATTGCAGCCCATTCAGGGCCCATTTACATTTATGGGTCACACCCATTTTTGTGTTTATTACGATGCACTGCCAGCCCATTCAAAATAAATGCTGTCTTGAAGCGCACCTTGTCACATGTTAACACAATTGCTTTACTGAAACCCATAATGTTAATGGGCCCTTATTTGAGATATTGTCAATTGCATGAAGGTCTCTTGCATAGTTTCTGGAATACCTGTGTAGGATGGAGTGAATTAACCCCTTCATGACTGAGCTAGTTTTCAGGTTCTGTTCATAAATGACTGACACATTTTTTACATTTTTGCTGTGTGATTCTTCCACAGCAGTAATATACTTTCTTACTAAATGTACCCACACATATTATATATAGTTTTTTAGAGGACAGATAGGGCTATATAATTATATCACATATGTGTACCTAACCCCTCACTTTGAATAAAATAAAAAAATGAGGAAAAAAACTAGAAGAAAACACTTTTTTCACAAGTTTTGATTATTATTTTTTTTTTTTTAATTTTTTTATATTAATTATAGTATAAAAAATATATTTATATATAATTTATATTTTCCTTATTTTGTTTTACACTTTATTTTTAATTTTTTACACTTTGTAAAAAAAAAAAATATATTTTTTTTTTCTTGTCGGTTTATATCAAGCAATCACTATGACAGCTTGATAAATTAACTTTTTTATTTTTGGCTATTAGGCTGATTCAAACTTAGGAACAGCTAATAATAACCTTAGAGACTGATCCTGACTTTACATTTCACTCAAAAGATATACATTGTATCTCTTATATATCTTTAGTGAAATGTATCTAAACATCGGGCTCTGGAGCTGTCAAAACAAATAGCAGAGAGGTGAGGTGAGTCACTGCTGCCTCTCTGCTATTTTGAGCAGTCAAATGCGGGATCGCAAATTGCGGTCCTCTATTTGCATGTAACGGCTTCATTCTTTCATTAATGAAAGGAAGAAGCTTTTACAAAAAGCTTAATTATTTAATTAACTAATGCCTCAATACTGAGACATTAATGAATGACTGTTAAATGCTGAGAATCAGCAAATACCGGCATTACAAAGCCTGATATAGCTCGTCACGTACAGTGTACGTGGCCAGTCATATAGGCACAAAGTGACAAGACGTACACTGTACGTCTCCCGTCACAAAGGGGTTAAACAATAATCCTTATTTGTGGGTTGTCCATCCTGAGTTTTATAAAGTAAATTCCACAGCACTATTACAGTGCCTTGCATCAACATTTCTGAGCAAGCGAATATTTTGTAAACTAGGGAGGATTTTTCCAGTGTTTTTCTTGTAATGCACACTTACCTATTGCTTTCTTTACAGGGTCTGTGCCTTACTCTTTTACTCCTTGCCATTTTCAAGAAGGCTTTACCTGCTCTGCCCATCTCAATAACATTTGGACTTGTATTTTACTTTGCCACAGACAATTTAGTACAGCCTTTCATGGACCAATTGGCATTCCACCAGTTTTATATTTAACCTCCGGACACTTTGATTTCCTGGGACTTATGTTTTCCCCTCAAAATGACTGCATATGAACACCTAACAGAAAAGAGCATCTATTTCTAGATTTTGATTCCTGAAATCCAAGGGATTGAGTTGATTGCCCTCTTGCTAGTGATGAGCAGGTAGTATATCATGGCAAAGCACCTTCATGTTTTTGTTTTGTTCCGACATCAAGAAAGAGTCCCGGTAAGCTGACGTGTTCATTGTGGTAGCATTTTTGCACCTGCATTGTGTCATTGAAAAGTACACATGGTGTGAAAAGTGACTTCAACCAACATCTTCACCTACTGAATGTGGGACCTCCTGAAAACCCTTTAACATGGCTTGGCAGCAGCTGGGTGAAAATGAAGACTTTTCAAGGGAGGATATTCATAAGGTACACAGATCATTACAGAGAAGTCTAACTTGTTTCTGCCCTCAAGAACAAATTTCAGGGGGAATTATTATAATTTTTTTGTTTTTTACACTAATATTCCCACTATGCTGGGAGTGAATAACACTGTACTATAAAGCAATATACTGTGCAGCGAACATGATCTTCCAATAATAAACACTGTTGGAGTCTGTTAGTATATTACTACACTTGTTAGTTCCTTCTTGCCAAAAGTGTTCTTTTTATTTCTAAAATATCTCTTATTTTTTTTATTTCTTAATACACTGTCAGAAATACATGTGTTTATGTGCTTTTGGGAGTAATTCTAAAACTACAAGGATATAAATGAGCAATGCATATTTGAGCCTTTGTAGTTTTCTTATTTCTTGGCTCCTAATAGCTGCAAAAATGCTACTGAATTGTTAAGCATTGACCTTTTGTAGCGTTAAATTCTGTGGATACGTGAAGGCATTTGGTTTACAGATGATACTGAGCCGAGCATATCACACGATACATCAACGAATACCTTTTGTGGGAGTGGTTTGTTTTTGTAATCTTTGACCATGTCGTTTTGCTTGCTTATTTTGTTAGTATTACACTGGAAAGAAAACTGACTTCTGTTATAAAATGCAAGTTTTGTCAAGACTTAATTTTTTTAATTATTATTGTAACCACTTAATTACCAGCCTGTATATACCTCTTTTATTACTAGATCTATTTCTGTTTTCAGTCCTGTGATAGCTTGACAGAGTAATTGTCAGTCATGCAACATGGTATCCTATTTTTTTTTCAAATCTCTGCCCTTCTGCAAGGAACACAAAACGTTTTAAAGGACTGCCAGGCGCCTCAGTCCTTGTCTCCTTCAAACACTCCCATGACCAGTTCCTAGTTTTTGGGGGGGTTTTTCCACTGTGGTCAGAAACCTCCTCCTTGCTGGCCAAAGACAAGCAAGCAGGCCAGTGACTCCTGTGGCTTTAAGGTGGAGGGGCCCATAAGAAGGGTGTCTGGCCCTTGGTCAAATAGGCTACACCTTTCCTTCACAGTAGCCCCACAACTCTGGTCCTCTATTATTGCTGACACTGTGGGGATCAGTTGGGTTGGCGTCCTCTATTAGCCCTCTCTCCCTCAGCTGTGATTTTATCTGGTAATGCAAGTTAGTTTATTGTTTGACTCCGATCGTAGGAGCTTCAGGCACACTCACATGTCCTTTCCTGCAGAGTATATTTTTCTTTGGGCCATGGCATTGTCTTTGGAGGTCAGCAGTAGGGACTCTATTGCTGAGCTGCTTCAACCTTATGAATGAAGAGCTTACTCCTTGGAGTTGTGGTCTTTTACCCCCAGATTTTGGTATAGTGTTGGAAACAAGAGGGTGTTTACCGCAATTATATGAGCAACCTGTGGATCTGGCTAGTGCTGTTTTTTGTTTGTAAAAATGATTTAATTATTTAATGCTGTAAAGACTCATCCCTCCCCTCACCCTTTTTATTCACCAACTTTCATGCTGGTTCTCTAGTCTTTCAGCACCAGGTTAAGTGCCTATTAGCTCTGTATCTGTGGGTGTGGATTGGGGCAGCTGTGGGTCCTTAAGTGTTTCACCTTAACTGGGTGATTTTCTCTTCCAGTAATGTCTTTTTTTTTAAAGCCCGTTTCCACCTTTTGCAGAGGTATTTAAAATAAACATGCCAACAATGTACACCGTGTACATGAAGCAGGCGTCTGCAGTTGCTGTATGTGAACACAGAAACCTTAATTTTTCCTAATGGAAATGGCCCTCTGTGCTTTGCAAGCAATATCTGTAAGTTACAACTGAGCTTTCTCTTTGCCCGTATTTAGAGTGGCAACCATTCCCCCCTGGACACTGTATTGTGTACAAAGGTAGAGCTGGTGTTTAGTGATTGTTACACAGAATCACAGGGAGAATGACAGCATTTTACAACCTGCTTTACAATCTGACCCTGGTGTGAGTTTCTTTAGAAAATGTTGAATTTTTCAGGATTCAGGCCTAGTAAGTTCATTAAAAAATAAAGAGAGGCTGCAATAGGAGTCATGAAAATGTGCACACATATACATCATCACTTCACCGCTACATTACCACAATAAATGCTAATCGATTACAAAGGTGGAAATAGACTTTAAGGCCCAACAATTTGCTGAAATCCTTTCTGGAGTACCACCTACACTGATTCATCTGGACCTTTTTAGATGTTTCTTTGGTGAAGTCCTTTATGCAGTTTCCAGGCTATTCTGAGCAGTTTGAAAGTAAAATTAGAGGGACATTTTACCAGCTGATGCGATCTGGCAGCCTGACACAGGGTTAAATGAAGTAAATAAAACTTGTGAATAAGAACATATAACAAATGGGTGTGGGTGTTCTTCCAATTGGGCTGCAAAAGTGAAAATACACTTTAAAAATAATTTGCTTGTAGAGATGGTTACATTGGTGCATGTGAACTTTGAATTTTAAGTGGTGCACCAAATCTATGCCTTTATGTATTCAACTTATGCCTTCATTACAATCAATATATCAACAAAATGATCCTCCTTTTTAGACAAATGCTTAGTGATATTGAATGGTGGTCTGCGAATCTACCTTTTTTGTTTGGGAAGAGTAATTTGATAAAAATGAATGTATTGCCTAGACCGAATCCTTCCCATTTCTGTTTCTGGAACAAACTTGTTAAAAGCGCAAATAAAAATACTTTGTGTTATAAAGGGTGCCAGGTGCCATCAGG